AGAAGAAGAAGAAGAAGAAGAAGAAGAAGAAGGAGAAGAAGAAGAAGAAGAAGAAGAAGAAAATGAAAAAAATGAAGAAGAATTCTTAAAAATTACTAATAGATAATAGTAAATAGCATTTGTATAGCACATATCCCCGCTCGACAGCAAGCTCTATGCGTTTTACACTATATTATTACCCCAGAAGACCATAGGGCAATCAGAAACATTCTCAGCTTCCCTGGAAGCATACAGTGCAAGCAGCTGATTAAGCGCCCAAACCCTAACAAACTGACCATTATGAAAGAAAGTCTCGATTGGCTTCCTTTAGATCAGGAGTCAACAATCACTAAACTGTCAGGGGGCCAGAGCAGGTCCAGGAGGTCAGTTTGTCTAGCCTGCTGCCATGCCACTATGCCAGAAAAAGACCTTAGAATAAGTTAGAAGATGTGCTAATTATAGCCTTTTCTGAGCTTGGTCACGACAATAATAATTATATCATCACTGAACTGAACAGTGCAAAGTAAGCATGCTTTCACAACTTGTAGCTATTTGCTTCTGCTCTATTTCTTTTTGTATTGTTTTATTGTGTGTATTGATTGATCAATAATATTGTTGTCTTAATGTTTTAATGTGCTTCGCAATTAGAGTATTGTTTTCAAAAAAATAATAGTTATCCATCACGCGCTCGCTTCTCTCAGTTTTCCGGCCCACTTTGAGAAGAGTTTGATGACCCCTGCTTTATTTGACTGACTGAAAAGTAAAAAAGTCATGTGTGTTTTATGACTCTTTCAGTCCAAATTCCCGCAACCGTGACTTAAGACCGGCTTCTGTGGTGTAATCATTAGATGATCAGGGACGTCGCTGTAGCTCGAAGACAGGGCGTGCGTTCTATTCCCGAGCGGAGACATCTTTTTATCAAGCATCTCCTTCTTATGTCTGATGGAATGTTGCATCCCACTCAGTTTTAGTTTTAGTAAGCGTTTTACGGCACTTGCAACACTGTAAGGTCATATAAGTACCGAAGATTTGAGGTGTTACAAGAGAGTAACAAACACAAAAAAGAAGGAGGGGAGATAAAGACGATAGATAGATGTTTGATAGGAAAGAAGGAGCAAACCACACCAGAGCCCCTGCCAACCACCCACACATCCCACTCAGCTAGTGTTAGCCCTGGGGCATAGGGTTGATGCAGCTGTCTTCCCAAATTGCATCAGATAGGAGGAGTCTTTTTTTTTCTTCTTTTTTTTGTGTAAGTGTTTTACGGCGATCGCAACTTCATAAGGTCATATGGGCGCGCGGGAAACACTAAGCATTAAAATGTACACTTCCAGATAGGAGTGAAAAACAAGTTTT